AAAAAAAAATTTTAACTGCCTAAGGACCTACATTAATGACTTACGTTGAATTGCATGATATCATGTTAAGAAATGGACTTTGGGCCTTATTCAACCTCAAAAGTTAGTTCATCAGGTGAGGATTGTCCATAACCATATTAGGAAATCAATTACCCCCAAAATCGATGTGCGAGTTTTAACAACCCCGTACACTAAGGATTGGACAATATAACATGAATGCTCAAAATTGGATAACCAAGAATCGAGATGGTCTGGAATCATGTTGATTGCGTGACCGTTTCATCTATAAGCTTAATTTGTTAGAGTATTTATTTAATTATATCTTCAACATCTTTCAAAGATAATAATATGACAATCTTTGTCAACCTTGCAAAATATTTAGTTGACTTGGATTGCATGCCGTAACATTGAGCTCGCAATGATACCAGTGCCTTTGAGGATCAGAAGAAGGCGGAACCAATATGTGATGGAACTGCAAAAGCATATGGTCAGATTACTGGCACCGTGCATCACAAACATTACTCTGAAGTATACCTAGTTTATAACAAATTGCAGAATGATCTTACTTGGTACACGTCATATGCTGAATTTAAGATGAAGAATGGCGTTCTGATGTATGGTAATGCATACTGTGGGAAGAAGCACTGCATGAACATCTCAAGAATTCTTAGAAGAGTGCTCAGTTTCATCACCAGCTTATGAACTAAATAAGACGAGAGAGCTTAGATCATACCAGGTGTGGATAGTAGAGTGTAGAAGTGCAATTTTGATTGAGATTTGGTTCTACCCCCTTCAGAAAACCACATTTGTCAGAACAAGATAGCGCAGTATAAACATTCCTGAATTTAGCCATGATAAGAGCATACCTGTAGGGAAATAAGATCTTCATAGAAAGATCTGATAGTGTGGTTCAGACTTATATCTCTCCTGCGAAAACAAAATGCAAACATCCCATTAAATGTGTAATATGGCCAAATTTTCATGACATTTGCCATGACATAATATCCATTATAACAAATTTGTGGTTCATGACATTTGCCATGACATAATATCCATTATAACAAATTTGTGGATCATGACATTTGCCATGACATAATATCCATTATTAGGCTAAGGATTTCTTGCTATAAATAGAGGAGTTTCTCCTCATTTGTAGACACACGGACGTAGGTCACTTTGACCGAACCACGTTAAATTTGTGTCTTNTCTCCGCTTGTGGACGTAGGTCACTTTGACCGAACCACGTTAAATTTGTGTCTTCTTTATCTACTTTAATTGTCGTTGTTATCAACTCCCATTGTCTTTGTTATTGTCATTATACCGTTGTTTCGCTATATTCCGCACTACCCGGATTCCCGATCCTAACAAATTGGTATCAGAGCCGGATCTAACCAGGTTAGTTTCAATAGCCAAAATGACTCTAACAAAGACCTATGTTGAGAAATTTGACCGAAGTGCAAACTTCGGAATGTGGCAATTAAAGATGGAAGCTATCCTAATTCAGGATGGCTTAGACTTGGCGTTGCAAGGAAATGAGAAGAAGCCGGATAAAATGACGGATGAGGAATTTGCCATCATAGACAAAAAGGCAAAAGCAGATATTATTTTAAATCTCTCAAATGAGGTTTTACGTGAAGTTTCCGTAGAAACCACAGCTAAAGGCATGTGAGAAAAATTGAAAACCTTATATATGAAGAGGACGGTGGAAAATAGACTTTACCTGAAGCAGAAGCTTTATACAATTCGTATGGGTGAAGGTACCTCTATTCTCTCTCATCTTGACACATTTGATTCCATTCTTATGAATTTGAGTAATATAGATGCTGAAATTAAAGATGAGGATCAAGCCGTGTTACTGCTTTGTTCTCTACCCCCATCTTTTAAGCATATAAGAGATACTATGCTTTATGCAAAGGATAATATCTCTTATAAGGATATTAAATCTATCTTAAAATCAAAAGAACAGATAGATAGTGATATTACTGGGGAAGCTAGTGGAACTCAAGCGGAAGTTGGCTTGTTTGTTAGGGGCAACTCCGACTCCATATCCAGATACAATAATTTACAGTGTCGCTATTGTCATAAGAAAGGTCACAATATCTCTGAATGCTATAAACTGAAAAATAAAGAAAAGCATAAAGAAAGAAAAAATGAGCACAAAAATACTGACACCGCCGAAGCTAGTGTAGCAACTGATGAGATTGAGGGAACTATATTTTTAGCAACTGAAACTAGTTTCAGATTAGACAATGAGTGGATTTTAGATTCCGGTTGTTCATATCATATGTGTCCTAGCAGGGACTTATTTTCTACATATGATTCAGTTGCAGGTGGAGTTGTCCAACTGGGTAACAATGTTACTTGTAACGTTAATGGCAAAGGTATAATTCGTATTAGAATGCACGATGGTGTGGTGAGAACTCTCACCGATGTTAGATATATTCCTGAGTTGAAGAAAAATCTCATCTCTTTGGGCACTTTAGAATCCCTTGGGTACAACTTCACTGGTGAAGGTGGAGTTCTAAAGATTTTTCAAGATGCTCTTGTGATCATGAAAGCACACAGATCTGGTTCGTTGTATACTTTATTGGGCTCCACTGTTATAGGCTCTACTACAGTTTCGATATCAGACAACTTGTCTGAATTTGATGGCATTAAATTTTGACATATGCCCATTGGGGCTTTTGCGAAGAAGGTGGAGCAAATTTACTATATCAGCCAAAATTAGGCCAAGGTGGAGATTTGTAATATGGCCAAATTTTCATGACATTTGCCATGACATAATATCCATTATAACAAATTTGTGGTTCATGACATTTGCCATGACATAATATCCATTATAACAAATTTGTGGATCATGACATTTGCCATGACATAATATCCATTATTAGGCTAAGGATTTCTTGCTATAAATAGAGGAGTTTCTCCTCATTTGTAGACACACCAACAAGACTTGTCTTCAATTCTTGTTTCTTCCTTTCTTCCTTTATTAAGAGTGTTTTGTATGAGAGTTAGTGTTGGGAAGCACTTGTGTGAACCCTTTCTTTGGAGTGATCTTGTGAGGTTATTCTCTTAGGGTATTTGGGATTAATTAGAGTGTTTACTCTAATTTTGTACTCTCTTTTGTACTCTTATTGTTATAGTAAATTGCTCCTCTCCGCTTGTGGACGTAGGTCACTTTGACCGAACCACGTTAAATTTGTGTCTTCTTTATCTACTTTAATTGTCGTTGTTATCAACTCCCATTGTCTTTGTTACTGTCATTATACCGTTGTTTAGCTATATTCCGCACTACCCGAGTTCCCGATCCTAACAAAATGTAATACGGAGAGGAAATCACATTTGCCTGTTCAGTTGGCAGAAACATACTCATCTAAAAAGAATCCAGCATCACTCAAGCATTTCACGCTAGACTTATTTGGCAGATAACTGGTGAAGTTGTCACAATGCAAAAAGGTCGCCAAGCCCCCAGCAGAGCATCCAGAAAGCAAAGCCTAGAAAGAAATGCCGTCAGTGACTCAGTACAGTTTTAAGCAGAAAGTATCTTTTAGTAAGGGAGTAAGACTATGAAGTTAAAATATTTGTATTACATGTCTTTTGGAAAAAAAAAATTAATCAACAAAAAGATTATCATGTTATATACTTAAAGTTACAGAGTTTGAATATAAACATACTGAAAGATCCCAAGCAGATTTGTATAATATTTGGCAGTTCACTATTTGTTTACTGTTACAGAAAATGACTATTTAACTCAGAAAGGCAAGACCATCTAATTACCCTCTCTATGTCCTCACAAGAGACTAATATTTGTGTATTGGGCAGGATGGGGAGGGGGTAGTGTGTGGTGAAGGAACCAATTGCTGTTTATCATATTGCTACCCAAAGTATAATTATCGAGCTGTATTTGTGGTCCTAATCCTTGACGGTCATTATCACATGCTGTTTAAGTGCAAAGGAGTATGTCTAATGTCATTACCTTCTTTGCTCGCCCGAGACCTTTTGGGAGAAGATCAAGAATAATTGCTTGCCAAATTCTTTGCCCTCTGAAATAAAGCAATGTGCTCTCATTTCGCTCGCCGCTGCTACGGGAATATGTCTGTGCTTCATTTCACGCAAGAAAAGGACTCGGTTAATAGTAAGAACAGGGTACAACTCAGACCGGATACACCTTTATCAAGACCATAATTCTTTAACTAGTCCAAAGGCAAAAGTAATTGGCTTTGAGACATCTAACATGTATGCCACCAGAAAATCTATTAGCAGTTCCATACTTAATTCTATTTAACTTGAAAGCAAGAAAAATGAAGAAAATTCAGAGTAGCGCAAATGGTAGTCATATGATAGAATCCAAGACAAGTAAGGTCATAATAATTGGTAGAAAGAGCAGGGATTGAAATAACAAATAAAAAGAAGTCAAAAAAAAAGTTCCATATTGGCCTTGATCCAAGTCTGACCACGCTTTTCAAGCTCTAATATTCCGAACTAATGTGAATTACACGTGCATATTAATTCTAAAGCAAATGAATGTTGCTATGCAAATTATGATTCTTTTCCATCTTTATCTGTTGAATTTCCATAATGTTCCACAAAAATGTTATGAAGCATCATTACACTGAGGTACTCAAGACCTTGTAATGCCCTCTCTCATTACTAATTGAAATGAATCCTAGACTCGCAGTTCATTTCCAACGCGTGAATATTGGTCATATTAAACAATATCTCCTAACCACAATGTTGAGTTTACCCTTTCTTAAAGACGATAGTATTTTTTTTCACGTTCACAATGATTAGGAATACTTAAAACAATTTATAGAACCAAACCATTCCTGGCTCAAGTAACTAGAAATGAAGTCTCAGAACTAAAACACTTAATAGTCTGTTTGGTCAAGCTTCTCCCAAAGCCAAAAGTGTTTTTTTCCCAAAAAGCATTTTTTCTCAACTTGAGGTGTGTTTGGCCAAGCTTTTGGGGGGGGGGGGAGTGCATTTGGTAATAAGCAAAATCAAATTTAGAGAAGCAGAAAAAAATAGTTTCTTCCTAGAACTAGAAGCAGAAGCAATTTTGACTTTTCATCTTACCAAATATACCTTTAGAGAAGCAGAAAAAAGTAGTTTCTTCCTAGAACTAGAAGCAGAAGCAGTTTTGACTTTTCATCTTACCAAAAATACCTTTAACAAAATATAGTATATACCAAAATAACATTACTTATTTCAAACCTAATAATTAGAATTAGAGATTATAGTATTGAGAACTCTCATAATGTATAAATATGTTGAATGCTTTTTTAATATATTTAAATCATCTTGAAAGAATTAAAGTACTTTTCAATTTATTTTCATGTTTTACTTAAATAAAATAAAATAAAAAACTTAATTATTATCTTTAATAATAAATATTTGAGATTATTCATTTATTTATATAATATTAACTATTAAGTAAATCTTTTTATGTCTTTATTACTACTTTTTAAAAAGTTTGGTCAAACTCAAATTATTGCTCAAAAGTGTTTTTCAGATTAATTAGCCAAAGACATTGTTTCTCTTCAAAAGTGTTTTACTTTCTCGAAAAGCACTTTTGGAAAAAACACTTCTCAAAATATGCATTTTTCCAGCTTGACCAAACAAGCTATTAGTTTCATGACTTCTACTGGTTCTATACACCCATAGTTTGGCAGATAAAACAGCAACAAACCAAATAAGTTTGATCATTTGGCACGAGGAAAAACAAAGCACCCGATTAAGCTGAACTCTCACTTAAAACACTCTAGATAGGTGACTATCAAACAAAAGATTTATTTTGGAAATGGCGGCCAGCTACTAGGACACGGCATTGATAGTTATTATATAATAACCAAACAATAATGAGGATTAGAAAAGTAATTTCATAGAAACTTGATAAACAGGATCTAGTGGACACGAATCTAGTACTACAAAGGCAAAAGAATCACAAAGTGGGAATATTTAAGAGGAATAAATACTGCAAGAAACTGAGGTATGTGCAAGTGGTAGAGTTTTACCCCATTATAGAACTTAGAATCACCAGCGAACGAGGCTCCATCACAATATCTGAGCTTCACCCGATTCCAGTTGTAGAAATCTGCATTTGTTTTTCGACTTCTCCATTAGTTAGTTACAGATTCCTCACGCAGTTCTTCAAATCATTTAGAATATATAAAAATCTTTTAAACCATGTTAGTTTATCATTGCACATGAAAAGGGAAATTCTGAAAAAGATTATCCTCAATACGCAAAAGGATGATAAGTATTGATAACTAACTGTAAAGAAATAGTCCTATCCGATTCATTCAATTACATTTGAAACAAAGTTTGACTCCGTGTAATTACTTTCCAATTAGGCTTTAGTCTCTAAATCATGCTGCTGTTGACGAAGTGAGAAACTCTCAAGTTAGGATAAAAGAAAGGAAAATTAGGGAAAAGATTATTAAATGAAGAGACCACCATTTTTTGCCAGTGTAGATCGAGGTTCCACACTCAATATTCATTGTTCAAGCTCCTTAACAGTATTATTGACTTGTTAAAAACCCTTAGCTCACGCCTCAGTCACAGAACCAAATTAGAAAGCCGGAAAAAATAACATGGACTCTCAAGATGTTCTCACTTTTAACTTTTAACGGCTAAGGTTAAATTACTTGGTTAGTATAAATAAAGAGGAATCCTTTTTAGCTAGGCTTTACTGGAGAGTACGATGGGAAATGCAGGGCAGAGGTCAGAAAATGCATAAATCATGTAAAATGTTAGAAAAGGTGGTCTATTTGCCTTGTTTTGCTGTCCTCGAAGTTCTAACTGGCTGTCGGTGCACCCATTTAGCCTACTTACAATTTAACAAGACACTGATTAATTTCTGTTTTCTTTGTCCATATTAACTGACAGGGTAAATGTTTTAGATGCTGGACCTAAAACAGGGCATACAAAATTGACACTTGTTTCCCGCAATATCTAAGAAACTGATAAGTAATAATCAAATATAGGGCAGGCACAGTCCTTACTTTTGGACTTCAAAACCAATCTAACTGATAAGAGGATCAGACAAAAGAAGAAAAATCTAATTAATAGGACGGCATCGGAGCTGAGATCGAACTGCAATGTTTTAGATTGGGAGGATAGACAAACCAAAACATATAGCTGTCTACTTCGTCCTCAAACTATTAATCACGTGGAAAGGGAGAACATCAAACGTGAGGAACATGGACCTTGTCACACAAGAATACTACATTGACAGCATTTTGTACTCCTACTTACCAGATTGGCATTTCACATGCTTCATTTTTTTTGTTTGTTCCTTTGTATAAAGATAAGTTTGTGAATTACCAGGATTTAAAGACGCACTGTCGCTGAGAATGCCGGAGAAGACCTCCCACTTATTCATGTAACGAGTTGATCCACGCCGAGTTTTGGATCTATCCAAGCATGATTTGATATCATTGCACCACCCACCACCCTGTTATTGCAATCAATATGAAATTAAAATGTCAGACGTTTCGCTATACGCTCACTAGCCACTATACTTCTTGGACAAACTTCCATACCCATTATCCTTTTTCTTTTTTCGTCTGTTTTTCTATTAGCCTAATGTAATGTAATGCAACTTTTTCACCTAAACAGCAAAGTAGCCAAAAACACAAAAGTTTCAATTATTAGTATCACAAGTTCTAATTTCAATAGCTTTCTAATTACTCTAGCTAAGTTTTTTTTATACATATAATAGTGTTGTCCGAATCAATTTCTGTGCACTATTTCACGGAATATACTTGCTATCTTATACTCTCACATGTACCATCTAATGTTTTTGTGTTTTTCGGATTTTGAAATCTGAAATATCTAGAAATTTTAATTTAAAAAAAAGTAGAAAGGATACTGGCAGCGGTTATAGACGTGTCTTTTTTTATGGGTGTTTAACGGGAGGGCTGGGACGGGCTGGACACAAAAAAAATAGCCCGTCCGTTTAACGTTGCGGGCTGTTAGCGGACTGAGTTAGCGGGCTGTACTTTTTCGATTTTTTTTTTTGTCCGTCCGGGTTCGGGCTTAGCGGGCTGTTAGTGGGCTGTTAGCGGGCCGTGAGTTTTTTTTTTTAAGTAAATTTTATTTTTCTTATTCAATGTTATTGATACTTTAAGTGTTTGCAAACTTTTAAGGTTTAGAATTAAACTTTGAAGTTTAAAGTTTTAAATTTAAAATTTGAATTTTATAATTTTAAAATTTAAATTTGAAAGTAAGTGGCTACAAAAAATTATTTAATAAGACCAATAGGCAATATGTAAGGATCAAGCTCCGAATACTTTCATTTGATATTTTTATTGAATAATATATAATACTTCAAATTAAGTTGCAAGTTCTTTTTTGATTTTGTTATTTTTGAACTTGCAAATTAAAAGTTTACAACAATTATTAAAAAAAAAATAGTACATCACATGCTTTGCATCATTTTTGTAAATTCATCCATGTCAACATGAGGTTCTTGGTTTTCGGCATTGGTTGAATCAGAACCATAAATCATTATATCTCCAATTTCTTGGTCCTCCCCTAAATTGGCCATTTTGATAGAAGGGCTTAAAATAACACCAATTAGGTAAATAGAGGGAATTGGGTAGAAATATTTTTTAAATTTATCTAGCATAGATTCAACACTTACTTCTTAATCTTCGACTCTTCTTAATAGGGAGGGGAGGCCTACTTGTATTACCACGACTTCCACCCCTATTATTTTGAGTTTGATTAACATTACCAGGTGTAGCTGGTGGTGTTTCAAGATTATCAGGTGATGGAATATCATCTAAATCATCATCTATACCATAATTTTCTTGAAGTCGCTCATAATCTACATTTAAATTTTCAGGTGAACGTTCTGAAATATGTGTAAAGCTACTAGAAGAACAAGCACCACCTCTTGATCTTTTGGAAGTTTTCTTACTACCACCTCTACTAGTGCACGCTTTTTTGGCTGCTCTAAATATATCCCTTATGTAAATTAAATTAATAATTGTAAATAATAAAATAAATATACACCAAAGAAGAGAAAGATATAGAACGAGTGTATCGGGATTCCGGATGCCGCACTAAATTTGATATCAAAAATCAAACTTCAATTGATAGATCGATACTTGATAGTTGATACCACACTTCACTTGAATACTTGATATTTGATAATAATAATTTTGTAATGGCTAAACTAAATATTTGATGAAACTTGAAATAATAAGTAATTGAGAATTTAAGAACAATAATCAATAATATCAAGAGAGAATTAGAGTAGTAAGAGAGTGAATTGTGAGAAAAAATGAAGAAGAATGGGGGCTATTTATAGTTTTTAAAAGGTTAAAATTGTTATTTATCAAATACTAGGGGTGTGGGGGCTATTTTCTTAAGGGGTAGGCCGAAATGGCCATTTCTGCAAAAAAAAAGGGCCGTTGTGGCAACGGTAATTTTTTTTTTTAAAAAAAACGTTAAAAAACGGGTTGAACCGGGCTGTAGCCCGTTAACAATCCGTTAACGGGCTTAGCGGGTTCCGATATCAAAAAACTGTTCGTTTGAAACCCGCTCCCCGCCCGCCCTACGCTACAGTACCGGGCTGACCCGGACTATAAACGGGTCAGCCCGACCCGATTAACATGTATACTTTTTCTACATCTAGTCCTACTTATAATAATACTCCTTAAAATGACAACTTTGTCTCTCTTTTGTGGTCCATATGCAAGTTGTCATGTCGTAAAAAGAATGGCCATATGGCCAACTGGAGGAACTTATTCAAGCCGCCTTTGAAAACTAATTGATAGGATAAGCTTCTAATCTATTATTATCATTAATAAATAGTAGTGAAAATCTAATTATTGAGAAACGGAAATGGACAGATTGAATGAGAGAGTAGGGGTCCGTTTTTAGATAAATGGACAAACATGTTTATGTTCCGCTCACCAATCCTTTTTTGCCTTTTTAGGTTGATAAGTCGCCGATGTTTCACACTAGAATACTAGAATCCGCGCATGCACTTTTGTCATGTTTTGGACTGGATGAAGAGAAGAAAAAGAGGTGGAAACCGTATTTAAATAGAGAAAAGAAAAAGGTGAGAATACGAGTGGTAACTTTATATTTTTGAATTTTTAATGAAAAAAGAAATTTGATCTCATTTAACAGTAATACTTTTTATCAAGAATTATTCTGCTAATAAACTTAAAATCTTATTCGACATTATCAAAGTTTCATTTAGATATGGAAAGATGGGAAAAGAAAATTTGGTTCACGACCTTATCCTTAATTTTATTCCTTGTTCCCTCTTTTTCTCCCTAAAAATCAATCTAAAAGTAAGAACTAGGCTCACCCCTTCTTCTCTACATCCTTTTTTCCTTTTCTTAAATCCAGATGATCAGATAACCAAGACATTGAATTTTTGATTTTTTGCACATAATAAAAACTGTATGACATCTTAATGCATGTAGAAAAAGAGAAGAAAAAACTAGGAACATTTGAAGAGGCATGTTACATTAGTGCATCTTAAATCTTAATGCATGAATAATTCCGTTACTCCTTTCCATTACTTTTGCCTATTGGAACCATTATGTCCATAATCACAGAAAGTTTCTCTTTGCCTTGTTTGTCCTCTTTGTGCATACCAAATGTTCTTTTTAAACATATCGTTTTAAGCATCATGCGACATGTTCACCGATTAATAGACAACAAAGTAGAGCAACATTTTTAATCTTGATAATTGTGTTTGATCAAACTAATACAGTCTAATGGCCCAAAAGTGTAATTTTAGAGAATTTACCTTTTTACCCTAAGGTGTAACCTTTGAAACAGATCGATCGCATAACATCCAAATGCACTAAAATTAATTATTTAAGCTAAAAAAAATTACAAGCAGGAG